ATTTTTCCTAACCTTGAAACTGCATAATTGAATCGTGCAAAAAAAATACGTACCGATAAGTTTATAAATTGAAATAAAAAATAAAAATAATAATTGAATTTACCTATGAAAATATGAAATAAATTAAAAGTTGTTACGCTCATATAGTTTTAAGAAAAAAACAATTTTTTCTCTATTTAAATTTACTGGTTTGGAAAATTTGTTTATGCGGTTTCTGAAAGGGGTAGCTTATTTTTAACGTGGCGGAAAATATATTTTTAACCGTGCGCACCTAAGTAAATTTGATCACGTTTCAAAAATCCGGTGTCCTCCTGAAATTAAATCAACTAGGTACTTCGCTTTTATAACAAAAAGACAGGATTTTATTTTTTTTATAAAAAAATGACTGTCAATTTTTATTTCGTTTCGTATAGATTTATTTCGTACCAAAAATATTAATATAATTTAAATTTTTTTTTCAGTAAATCTGCAGGACAACTGTTATTGCTCAAAAAATTATGTGAGTAATTATAATTTTTTTTTTTTTAACAAATTAATGAAGATAATATTCTAAACGTATTATTTTGAATTACATACGACAGGTATATACAGTTATTTGTTCAAATTGAGTTTTATAAACGTATCCGAATAAAAGCTTCCATTTACTTGTAAAAACGAGTTGGGATATAATAAATAACTATTATAATTTCGAAACATAAAATATACAATTACAATTAATTGTACTTTTTTTTTTATAAATGTTAAGGATTAATGTTAAATGAATAATTGAACATTACAACTATAAGTTATAACTAATTCATTGAAGGTATAGCTTTGAATTGCAAATATCAAATGTTTGGGTGGAAATCGTTTTTAAGGATATATAATAAATAAATATAGGCTAATAAACATTGTATTTGAAGCCTTTAATTAATAATAAAAAAAAAAAAAACAATTTAAATTATATTAAGTATTACCTAGAAGGTTCTTTATTATTTGATGCATGTTTGATATACTATTTTTCATGAAAATTAAGTGAATTATTATAGATTAAATTACAATTCCAAAAAATTAATAAATATAACCCGTACGTCCCTCTACGTTACTTGGTTAAATATCACTAACATTTAATAGTTATATTTAATACATAATATAACTTATAGTTACTTATATATAAATATATATTGTATTTACACAAAATTGTAGAGATAATCAATATTAATTAGCTAGTGTGAATTCTGAATAACATGTCAATTTGTGTTATCGTTAATACTTTGTTTCAGCCATTACACTGTTAGACAAATAGGTATTCCATGTGATTACTCGAAAAGTGGACATTAAATTAAAACTGTATTTTTTAATATTTTAATATTGACATAGGTTTTTTATCAAGAATAATTAATAAACGATAACTTTAARTTATTAAATCTAATATCTATAAAAACAACATTATTTACAATTCAGCAGCTCAAAAAACAAAATAATATTGCAAGCTCACGTCAGATGATGCATATGGGAAAATTAAATACAATTTTTAAATACTTTTACTATATTTTTCGAAAAATTAAATAGAGGTATTTATTATATAGTCTTTAGTAAGAGTTTGATTCCGTTGATAAATATAAGCATTTACAATGTTACAATAACGACTACCACAATACCTAATCATTATATTTTAGAATATTATTAAATTATTGTTATATATATATATATTTTAGATGTCTACATAATATTATAATAATAATACAACGATAATTATCAAGTAAAAGTAAAACTCAATAAAATATCCAGACTGTGATTTGTGTGCTGTATATTATGTTTAATATTTCTTTGTAAACTACTTTTATATATCAAAAAAATAATTAAAACTGGCATAACTATTTGGCATTTAGGTGCTTTCTCTGCGATGACGACAAATTCCGTTCAAAAGTATTCGAATGAAAATTTATATAGGTACGTTATGTATATAAATGGTTGACGTCTTGTCCGATATAATGCATTTTTAGACGTGCACATCATATAGTTTCGATCGATATATCGGTAAATATTTWTTATCATAACCAAATTCCGGCTGTAGGTTCGTGAAATTACTATGACTTGATTGCAGCACCGACGGGATTCTYTTTTAATTTGTACATCAATCGGATCGAAGTGGCTATACTATCATAACTACTATTACTATTACTTAGGTGCATCTAATCGACCCTGATACGGCTCGTCATTATTATAATATCCAAAATACGTCCGCAAGAGAGCGTCGCCTGTTCGTTATATTATAGGCTTTGTACATAAAATATATATTATATCGTCGTTGCATGTCCAATTTTTCGAAACGATGTCGTGACCGTGCGCACTTAAAGTTTTCCTCAGTCTTTTCCGCCTCGTTATTCCCTTCACAGCGGTTATAGTGTGTGTATGTCACGTGCGTGTATGTGTGTGAGTGCGTTTCGTATATGACAATTGCATTTTACAGCCAATTCTCGCCTCACGAAGACCAAACCTCGTAAGTCGGTCGTCGTCATCGTGGCGTAAAATATCTTTGGAATACTTCGGCGTGTATGCCTAATAATTTGATAAGCTGAACGACCATAAATATTTGTTATTATATTGGGGTGGAGTGATCGTCACGGTTTGGTTTTCGAACAGACGGAAACGCGAGCATCGCTGCYGGAAGAACTTTTCATYCTTGTCTATATATGTTGAGTATCGTAAGCTCTCGCGAGTCATGACGCGCGGTATATATGGTAGGTGGGATATGGAACGAGAGAGGGTTAAGTGTAGGCGACTGGTGCCACCAATGGTACAGGACCTGTGTATTGTAGAATAATAATTAGGTATAGTAATAATATACATCTAAGCGAAAACGACAGCATAAAACCACCACGATGGACGAGACGAGCACCGAGCTCCGGACTCTGGGAACAAAGAACCGACATAATGTAACAGCGCGCGGTTCCCGAGGGCTCTTATTGCGATTTCCTCGAAATCTAAAAAAAAAAAAACAAAACTAAAGAAAGAAAATTATCGTTAGAGGGGTTGACTTGCATGCACGACGCACACAACTGAGGCGGCGACCGGCAGCGGGTGCTCACAGGAAGTAATTGAGTTTGCCGAGGGCTGATGTCCGCGGGCGGCGGTGGTGAGATACTAGCGAGAAAAAGCCGCCACAACTGCTATAGGCCTTTTGTTTCGAAAGCCAAATGCAAACGCGGTCTCGGTTGTGTTTTCTACCTCCCCCTATTTATATATATATATGTGTATAATAATATACGTATGCCCGTCACGGTGGGATCAGAAATTAGGTTACTTTTTTTCTTTATTCTCCCCCACAACAAAAAACCCATCTAACTGGCTGCGTACACAGCCCGATGATAATGGTAAATATATATATATATATATATATTATATTTATATTGTATTGATGAGTCTGGGCATGTTCATGTTCTTACGGGATTTACACGCAAAAGATTTGTCAACTAAATTTGAGCCTTTAAAAGCCAATTAAAAAAGCACGCCTTGTGTGGAAGTCTCTAACTTGCTAACTTGACTCTAAAAACGTGAAATTTTTCAAATTCGACTTTAAGGTGTAATGGTTATTGGTTTTGAAACCTATAAACACATTATATATATGTATTATTTTTCGTTGATTTAAGAAAAAAATTATAGGTAAAGCCGATTGTTGATACAACTCTTTATCGCGGATTATATAAATTGTTTGAATTAATTTTTGAAGGTTGTGGATAAATTGATTAAAATTTCTGTACAACTATTGGTATGTAATATATAGAAAACAACGACATTATTGTTTTAATTTTACAACTAATAAAATATACGATTTCTATCACAATCACTGCTTACAGTTAATTGGTCAGCATTTTGCCAAAATTATTACCTAATATGATTTTTCAAACTACTAAGTACTTACACAAATATAATTGATCATCATAATCGTTATAATAGATAATATTGTTTTATGTTATATGATTGACGTATGAAAATTATTTAAAAGTATAAGTTTCAAATCTATTATACATATGGAATCAATCTATTAACTGTAAAAATTGAGTTAATTATAATCGAAAACATTTTAAAGTTTAACAYAACAACTATTAAAATTTTGATTCTCTAGTCTCCAAGTAAAAATTTCTTTTTTTTTTTTTATTTTAAAATGTTTAGAGATTAAGACTTTATAAAATATTGTTTTAATACTTAATGATAAATAAATTATTTAGAGTTCTTAATGAATTAAGATTTATAATACTGATTCTACATTATTTATTTTAAAATAATGGCTATATGTTCAGTTCAATTCTTTTGATAGTTTCTTGTAAGCTATTATTGTTAAGTGTTTACTTTTTTCTTTAAAAAACGCTATCTTGTCGACGCTGAACAATGTTTGGTCTCGAAAACATTGCACTGCTTATTAAATAAAACACATTTTCTGTGAATAAATTTGGTCACTCAATAAAATTTGGTATCTTTAATAAATATCTAAGGCTGACAAATTTGAAAGGTTTTAATTGCATTTTTTTTTTGCAATGATTTTTTACATTGGCGTTTAAATTAAACCTTCTTGAATAAATTTTCATATTTTTTTTTATTTAATTTGAAATAAACCCACTAAAAAATATCTTAAAAGCATTTCAAAAAATAGCATTCATAAAAACCTAGAAGTATTTAACTAGGTATTCATAAAATCTAACTACGGTTATGAATGTAGAAATAACTGAGATAATTTTTTTTCGATAAGATGTGAAATAAGAAATTAATTGCCTATCCTTTACTCCTTATAAACTCAATAAATTAATTTCGTTTAAATATTATAATGATGGAATTTTATACTGCTAGTATATTATACTCTGTATTTCACAAAGCATAGGAATCAAACAGTTAACATATTATAAGTAAATATAGTTCAAACAGAGCATAATAATTTCTTATAAAATGATATTAATAATATGTTGAATATTACATGTAAACCATACCTTATTATTAATTTTATAATATTTCATGCAAAAGTTATTCAGTAAATTATATGGTGACAAATTCAAGTGGTGACATCTATTGTGTAAGAGATTAATTAATTTTGAAAATTATAATTTGATATTGTCATAGGCAGAAATGTAGGTACAGCATTTATCTCCTTGACTAGACCACATAAGTAGGATCTAAAATGGTGACCAAGGCAGAAGTGATTTTATAGAGTTTGTACCTTGACGCCACCCAAAATCAGATTTTGTGAAAAACTTAGAATATCTTCAAGAGTAATTAAATACACATATTTGATTATTATTTGTATACAATATTTATTGAATTTCAACTGAAGTCGAACTGAACATATTCAAACAACGGTTAGTATTGGTGACATGCATCAATAAATTATAATCATAACTCATAATATTAAACTATTTCGTAATAAAGCAATTTAATGAATAAAAATGTGTAGGATAATAAAAGACGTAAACCTTGTACAGTCGTACCTACTGTATAATATTACCTATATTATTATATAGGTTTTGATGTCATAAAATCAAAATTTAATGAAACTTTTGTCACCTACCTCGATCTATCATTATTCGTTAATGTACGTGCATCAGCTTAAACGTTAAATACGGCTAACAATCGTTTGACATGATAAATGGTAAATATTTGTCCTATACAGTCAAATTTAAATAACCAAATATACCATAATAACCATAAGATTTCATTCGAGTACTGTAACGATGCAATCCAAAAACAATATTTCCAGCATAATATCATTGTGTGATAGTAAATTGTATGGTATTCACTGATCCACTTATAGGTAGGTACCTATAACATAATATCAATCGCTGCAAATGTCTAATACACCTAACCTTATTGTAGGTAAGAATACAGCAATTAATGCGTATTATATTATGTACAGATAATATTATAATTGTCGCGGTCATCGCCGAGATGTCTCCCGTGGTATAGGCAAAATCCATTCTAACAAATACAGAGTGGACAATAAATGGTGATGTAGTAAACTGCCATTGGCGGAAATCAATAGACATTTCTGGAGGGGCGGCTATATTAACTAAAAAAAAAACTATATTCAAATAAAATCACATTTCAAATGAAACCTGACAAAATTTTTTTTTGGGGGCTATTACAAAATTTGGGGGAGCTAAGCCCCCTAGCCCCCTAATTTCCGCCTACGTAAACTGCTATGGTATATTATTCTGCAGCACAGTCTTCTATAATATGGTATAAATCATAAAATCATATAACCACGATCTGCCGAGGTCGTCCAAACTAGGAGCCAAAAAGACATAAAATACTTCGAGTTTCGTGTTCAAAATCGGGCAACGTTTTTTTTCGGGTTACACGGTGTTACAAATTTACGAGCAGCCAACTGGGTTCGAACCAAAGTCTTTGACTTAGAACTGCTGACGATTATGTGCCCCATGTAATTATCCAATGAACTTAATCAAAACTCATCTTTGCTCACTATATATACCTACTACGTTTTATGCCATGCGTGTTCCACATTAAGAGAGTTGGCTTGAATTACGTTTTACGACAACTCACCCTCATGGTACGATCATATACGTTTAGTATGTATACTTACTAGTCACTACTTATAAATAGATACTTATCTTGGATACGTTTGCTCATATCAAATAATAATAACAGTAACGGTGGTGATAAAATATTATGGCGACTTTGCAGTGTAATATTATAAATATGTTATAGCAATGCTCACCCAGAACCGAATTAGCAGCCGGACCCGCGGACGAGTTCCAGAAGCCCCTGATGGTAGTGGCCAACTTCTGTGGCGACGCCGTGACGGACGCTACGATTGCAGCGTGCAGTTTGCTGCCGGTTGTACCGCCGTCTTCCGTCGCAGCCGGTCCGACCTGGTCGGCCGTCGCGCGCGTCGCGTCCGTATCCACCTTGACCGAGCGCCGACTATGCGTACCGACCACGCCGCGACTTCCTGTGTAACCACACGCGCGCGATCACCAACTTCCGGTGCACATCACGACGATGACCGCGGACGGTGACGACGCGGAACGATGCGATGCACTCCGGATCTCGAAGCGAAGATCGCGATCGAGTCCCGCGCGGTGGTGGCTGAGGTTGCGAGTAGTGGTCGATCGGGTGATGCGTATGCAGTTATGGGAGAGGGTGTGTGGGCGCTGACGCTTCTGGAATGGCTTGGGGGGGGAGGGTAATGTATATATGAATATATATTAAAACGAAGGCAGTCGTACGCGATATTCTTGTTTTTGTGGTTATGGTGTGGTGGTGGTGATGATGGTGGTGCTGGCGTTGTGTTACGCTACGGTGATGGACATACGGAAAAACGCGGCGCGACTGTGGCTGGTGATCGAGCTCGGGCGCGTGACGGACGCTCAGTGCGACCGGCAGGTCCCTTCGAACGCCGCCAGCGCCGAATCCGCTCGTGGGCGTGTCTGGGGTATCCGCGCTCCGCCCGGGCACCGCCTCGATATGCGCGGGTCGCCCTCGACACCCGTGTCCCGACGTCCCGGTGCCAGCGTTCGCGCGCGCGCGTGCCATCGCAGCTAGTGGGTATCTGGGTCAATGTGGCCCGGCGGCTCTTCGCAGGTCCACCTCGCCACACCCCACCGAAGACGTATATGCAAATTAAGACCGGTGACTGACTATCACTACACYTTTCTGCGGGTGCCGGGTGTATTGTAGGTACGCGCTTATACGAGTAATATAATATAATAGGTACCTATAGGTGTCTATATATTATATAGCTTGTGAGGTTATCACAGCGACCGCGGAAAACACGCGTGTGTAAAAAAAAAAGATTGACGAACGAGTGGAAATGAAAACTTGGTAAAAGAATAGAAACACCATCATGTATATAACACTGTAGGGATTGTGCAGTATACTCGTAAAACAGACGACTTTAATGGTGTTGTTACGATTTTAGAGTCTGGCGCTATATAACAGCGGAACGCGTATAACAGCTATATTACATATTATATAAACTATAATATTGTTCTCGGTACGGAGCAACAACGATATACCATATACACGTCTGCGCCGTTGTATAAGGTGTATAACACAACTATAGTCTATAGTACAAGAATAGTACCTATATTGTATATAATATGATACGTACACGGTATACGACGTAGCGTGTTCAATGTAACATGTTTTTTATGTATACAGACATACAGTATTATATATTATGTTTCATGACATACATTTGGTGCTATGGTGGTGTACTGCTGTTTTGTATTACTATGGCGACGCAAAAATATATTAATATATTGACTCGTTAGCTGTGCATTACAATATTATATTCGTAATTCTGATATTGCACGTTTGAATATAATATTTATTTTGTATTAAATTAAATTATTATTGAAAATTACGTAATTTGTGACTTGGAAATAATTTTGCGATCGATTTTTTTAACTTAATGCGTGTTACATAAATTTACACAATTTACGATAGTTTAATGAGCTATAGGTACTCTGAGCCAGTTAAAAAAGAATTTTCTAGGAACGACAAATGCCCGTATTTCAAATATTAAAATTCTGCAATTTCGTTTGAATATAACTTTTTAAATAACATTAAGCTTATACTAAGTTTGACTTTAAAGCACATATATTTACATGTTAAATCATCATGCTGAAATCAAATTAAATAATTTTTTAATAAAAATCAATTTTTCATTATACTTATGTTATAAAGACACTATAACTTATAAGTCGTAACCTCGTAGGTACCAGTAATTTATACATTTTTTAATTTATGTCGACAACATTTACGTGTAGACGTATAGTATTACTTATTGACTTATTGTATAAGACACTACAATGTAAATTATAAATGCATTATACATTTCTGCAAGACTAATATTGCTTTAACTTTTAACTATAATTTTTATTTAAAAAAAATATAGTTAATAAGTATTTTATATCAGTCTCACTTTACTTATTTCATTTTACCTAGGGAAGTAATTTACTATGAAATTAAGTTTGAAAGCAATGATAATCAATCGTATTCTAAACACGATTTTAAGTTCAGTTGATGTCGAGATTACTTACGTTTCTTCAACAATTTTTGATTAGTATCGGTCGTTTTTCTTAATGTTTAGAGTTACTATTGACATAGGTGATCTAAAAATTCTCGTTTCAAAGTACCATCTCGACTTAATCTCCGATCTTATAAATTTTGCTACATATACAGCTTTTTAAACACTCTTTTATATTGTTAACCTTCTATCTGATAGTGTTTACTACAAATATAAATAAAACATATCTTGTTTTCCTGGCAATCTAAAATCTGTTATGAAATAAGAAAAACAATTTTTTTACAAAGTGAACTATATTATACATATATATATATATATAATATATTAAAGAACTATATTTACATAAGTAGTTTGTGTTATAACTTATAGCATATCACTACATACCTATACATTACACTTTATGGTTACATTTGTACATATATTAATTATTAGGTTTAAAAAAAAGTATGGGCTTCATATGTTAAAAGCAGAAACCAGTAGTGGTGTATGTATACGTTGGTGGCTATGAATATAAAATTCAAACATTGAGTATTATTTTTTTTTTCTTTTTGAAAATTAAAGAACAAAAATGTGAAAATTTTTCAAAATTKGACTATTTTTGGCTATGCGAATTATTTTTAAAATATCCATTAGCAAAATTAATTTTGCCTATTTATGTATCTTTTTAAGTAGACTTAACTTAAACTTTATGTTAAATTGAATCAAATATTCGATTTATTCGACCGGTGTGCATATTTKTTTAGTTGGCAACAGTTTCTATTATTTAGACCTATTTTGCCTTAGGTACATTTATACGTTTAAATCGATTAATAAATTACACTAATTTTCCATTCTTATACCAATAGGTATTATAGTAATCCAATAGATTTGAATAATTTACACTCATTAATTATATCAGTAATTTATTTGAGTTTCCAATTTGCTACTAACACAAATAACTTTGAAATATAATTGTACAGACGATAAATAAACTGACTATATTTATTAGATCTAAATTTGGCCTTTAAGATACATATTACACATACTACATTACAGTATATTTGCACGTTAACTTAAACCTCTGAAGTAAATATTTCATCGTTTATTTAGTCTTATTGACTATTGCTAAGATCTACTAGCCATTTATTAACTTATTATGATTCAAAGTGTATTTAAACTTTGTATGAACTTTGTTTAATATTAGGATTATTTTAAATAAACGTAGATACGTTAACACGATATTTGAACGTTTAAAAAATAATTTAGTCAAAAGTGCTTCTATATTATAATTAAAATTTATTCATGTATACGTAAGTACTCATTATTCATAAATTCATTAGTCATTAATTAAAATATGTATGTATTGTATTGAAACTAAAACAAATCTACAATGGCCACTTAAAACAAATATTTTAACTGTACTATTTTAAAATATAAATTTATTTGATTATTGTAACTACTTAAGATCGGAACTATTGGTTTTACAATGGATAAATGTATAAATAAATTACCTACTGATGATTTTGGAGCCGATAAAAATCTCGAAAATTTGGTGATGCATCACAATATGAACCTCGAGTAAATAATTCGGAGAAATTTTCATTACTCTCGGGTACCTAATTTTTAGAAAGACAAAAAAATATGTTGTAGAAATTACCCAATAATAATTATCATATCATCTGAAAATGACTACCTAGGTTATGAGAAATATAAAGAATAATGATTTTTGTGAGTTGTTTCAAAAATATTTTATTTTATTAAAAAAAATGTTATTTTCTTTGGATAGATATGAATATTAAATGTTTCAAAAGTACATGACATGAAAATTTATTAAACTGATGAAAGCATTTCAGCTGAATTGAAGTTTTATATTCTAATTTAAAATACATCATATTATATTTCAAGGAAAATAAATATTTTATGTAGGATTATTTTCCTTAACATATGTACTCTGAATTGTTTTTTTTTTCATTTCTTTTTTGTAGCGAAMTGACGTGTTATATAAGAAATAAACATACTTTTAAAAAGAAAGTATAATTTAAAGATAACATTTAGATGTACACAGTACGCGTCAACCATGTTTAATCTGAATAAAAGCCTCACTCATCAGTCACATTCCCTAATCAAAACTAATAAATATTAACATTTATGCGTAGTTAATTAAGTTCCAAACTATAAATAAAACAACCTTATTGGCAATATTGAATATAATATATGTATACAAGCCTAAAAGTCATATTTTCACATTTGTATTTGTTTAAGTATAATGAACATAAAGCACAAAAATAATATATCAAGTCCTGCACGGTCCTTAGTGTGCATTTTAAATAATTATATATAAAAAAAAAATATAAATAACGCTAATAAAGCGTGTATGGACCTGCATATTGGATGAACATTTTTCGCCAGTCCCCCCTTTTTTAAATTTTTAAATTTTTTTTTCGRCCAAACATTAGTGTGTCATTAGTGTGAATTTGTGTAACTACTTTCAGAATTTGTGCGAAACCGGTTTAACCATAAATTGAAAAATAGAGATGGGGGGCCAGAGAAATGTTCCCCAGCCCCCTCATGGAAAAAATTACAATTTTCAAATTTTTTTTCCCCAAACATTAGTGCGCCATTAGTGTGAATTCGTGCGAGTATTTCCAGAATTTGTGCGAGATCCGCTGTACCCGAAAAATTTAATTTTTCGATTTTGGTATTTCCCCAGCCCCCCTTCATGGAAAAAATTACAATTTTTAAATTTTTTTTCCCCAAACATTAGTGCGCCCATTAGTGTGAATTTATGCGAAACCCGCTGTACCCGAAAAATTCAATTTTTCGATTTTGGCATTTCCCCAGCCCCCTCCTCAACCACTCATGGAAAAAATTACATTTTTTTCGTAAATCATTAATTGAAATACTTACAGAATTTTAATTTATTTTTATTCTCGCATTAAAAAAAACATTTCCCTACTTTATATAGTAACTGTCAACAAGGCACGTTTGTAGGTAGTTTCAATGATGTGCTATTATTTTACGTTCGGTTATCACCAAAATTGTATCTAGTATTTAGGGTTAAATCTATTTATGTACATTATCAATCATAAATTATTTTGTTTAAGATAAGCTAAATTATTTTTTAAAGCAATGAATACATAAATACTTTTTTGACATATAGTAAAAATATTTCTGGTTTAGCGGTTGAGTGGACCTGGACTCGAGTTATTAAAGTGTGCCCRCTTATTCCGACATTGTTTTCAAATTAATATAAATCTAAGAACATCAAAATGTACCTTGTTGTCTGCATTAATTTGTATGTGGGAATTAATCATTGATGCGTTTCACATTTTCACAGGTCATATGAGTAAATTTAGTGTAATACTAAAGGTTTAGTTTT